TAGCGCTCATGCAAATAGTTTACATTTTTTAAACTGTGATATATGTATATTTGCTTAGTTAGGCAGCATAGTTTGTAGAGTGCATTACAGATTCCGTGTACTTAATGGAAATATGATAAAACTTAAATATCGGACTGCCTTTTCATAGTGAAGATTAGCATTTTTTTATCAAGAAGATGGGCAAACAGCAAACAACTTTATACTTGCTGTAGAAAGGATGTGTTACATTGACTACTCTTTAGACAGAAAAATAAATTTTAACATTTATATCAAAATCAGACTTGAATAGCCTAAACATATGGATGCTTAGTCTCAGATATTCTACTAGGAACAGATCTGACCTAGACCTCCCTGAATAACGTGAGTCAGAATGTAATTCTACATTTTTAGTCATGCATGCCAAAAGCAAAGTGGAGAAAGATGTTTAATATACTACTGAACCTATTCGGAAATGTCAACTATTGCTCAGAAAGAACGTGGCCATGACTACAGAGGAGTGGTTTCGGGATAATTTTCTGTTCTTTTTGAGGGTTAGTGCACATGTTATGACAGTTGCATAGGGATGTTTTGACTTGCTGCATGAGAGGGCTGTGGTCACGATTTTCCAAGTCATTTTGTATATAGCCAGTTGCCTCACACATTGGATAGATTCTGTATGTTTTTTTTGCAAGTGGCCGTGTTTGCATGGTGAACCACAGCACATGTTGACAGCTCACTGCATGATGACCGCTACCATGTGGAGGGAGCTAAATGATATAACCCCCTGTAAAGTGCCTGTAATGCACAATTTATTACTTACGGAGTTGACTGTCATGGTTTGCTTGTCATTTTAGGAGTTCTTTATTTATGCAGTTCTAAAGAGCCAACAAAATCAGAAGTATATTGTATCAAGGTATTCTGTCCCAGCTGCCCTAGCCAAGGAGCACATCAAATAGGTCACCAACTATGATATTAATGATAGAGGGAATATAGTCAAATAACATCATTTGTTACAATGATTTTTGGACTAGAGTTTCATTACTATCCAGAGCAAAAGTCATGATAACAGAGGATGTCCCTAATGTCAAGTGTATGTATGTCAAGTGGACTGTATGTCAAGTGTCACCAAGGAACAATCTAAGGACCAGAAGTCCAAATGAGTATGTTGAATCAGTCTTGGGTATACAAGAGCAAGATGAAGTGGCAAGAGATGCTGTTTCAAATACTGGACTTTCTCAAAAAGCTTTTTTTTTTTTTTAAAGTTGTTAAATACATTTAGAAAATACTTTTCTATAATATTAATTTGATAACTTGTACCAGGAAGCCTTGGTGATGTTGCCTTGTTCTCTGAGTGCCACAGGTCGTGATCACTGCATCTCACTCTCATGTGAAGCTGCCTTTTAAGATGATTTGGAAGCTACAACTACTCCAGAGCATAGCAATTACATTGTTGTGGTTAAGCCCATATATCTATTCTGCAGCAACTGCATTGCTTCGTAGCAAGCTTCCAGGCCATTCAAATTGCTGATTATTATCTATAAAGCCAAGCATGGTGAACTCTGAGTTTATTAAAAACCTTCTTACTCAGAAAGATTTTGCATTTCCTGTGAAACCATCTAGCAAGGGCCTGTTAAGGCTCTGTCCTCTTGAAAGGTGAGAATAGTATGGGCTAGAAGTCATTGTAGAATGTTCCATGTGTAAAGGTGCATCACACTCTTTTACTGAAAATGCTTCTTTTTTTTCCCAGTGGATAATGTGAGGGGAGAATGAATAACTTTGAGGAGCAGGAGAAAGAGCTGCAACAAGCCAATAACATATAAAAGAAATCTGAGTCTGGGCCAGAACTGTAACTCAGGTAAGCATCTCAAACAAGACCCTCCTAGTTCTAATTAAGTTAAAGGGAGGAAGGGTTTTGTTTGAGACATTCAGAGTACAATTCTATCCCAGACCCAGATTTCTTTTATTTATTAATTAATTTTGTTTCCCATCCATCTTGTTGCGAGGTGACATTGGTCAGTTTTTACTTGCTGTAGTTTTGGTTGTGGCTTTTCCATGTAATCCTTAAGGTTATTCCTTCTGCTGATTTCATGGAGGGAAGATACAGTTTTGAGGATGCTTGAATTTTACTTTGTAGCCACCTAGATTTTATCTTGAGTATTCTATTAAAATAGTTTACTAATAAATAATACATTATAAAAATCTGAAGCTGCAGATAGCACAATGGTATGGCAATCAACCTCCAGAAGAGCTTGGAATATGTTTTTGTTTAAAGGGATATATTTATTTGTATAGCCAAATAAGCCTTTAATTCTCATAGCAGTAAATAAAGCAGACTAAACTTAGCAATAAGGACTGGCTGAAGGTAACTAAACAAGTGCTTCATGTTGAGGAGAGTTTTGAAATCAGATCCCAGTTAGACACTCTTGTGACACTGCCCTGTAATTCCTATTGTTCAAGTATATAATGATGACCTAATGAAGAGCATCTCAGCTTCTGTCTCAAACAGTTATGTATATGTTATTATTTCATTTGTCAAGTACAGTTTGCGCTCACTCAAGATATTTTACTGTCCACAATTCAAGATTATCTGACATATTTTAATGCCTTTGGACACAGGAACAGATACTATAAAAACATCAGTTCTAGTAATGTCCATGCTAAAGAAATTTGGGAAATAATATCAATTTATATTCTCATGAAAAATATTCAAAGAGACATCTTAGCTGCTTGCTAGCCAAATTTGGAGAGAGGTATCAATAAATGACATTTGTTGCCTGCTTTCCAAAACTGTGCAATAATTTAGGAAATACTTACTCTTTCCAACATCCCTACAATGTATCTAGTATCACCAAATGCACCTATCTCCTCATAGCATCTTCCATATACAATAGCCAGGGCTTGTAGGCAGAGACATTTCATATTTATTTTAGGAGTGAGCAGGAAACGATGATACAACTCATTGAAAAATTCATATCTATCAAGAAAAAAAAAGACAAAGAATGATTTAAGACTCAGTCTTTATATTTTAAATGCAACTTTTAATGTTAAGATAATAACTTACGATTTTTTAATTGCTTCACTTTCCTGACTTTCCTCTTCTTCTAAAAGCAACCTCAAATAATAATCCCCTATTTTAATTTCTTCTGACAGGCATTCATATTTCACCTTTTACAAAGAGAAAGTAGAGAAGGTTCTAATACAATATCTATCTATGATAAATGAAATTAATGTAATAAAATCTCAGAATTTTTTTGTTAAGAAATTTTATAAGAAACATACTCATATGTAGAAGAAGAAAGGGGAATATTTGCTTATTCTTGGGAATATGTGCTTATTTTTGTTTACAACTATTATTTTTATGTGACACCTTAAAGCAATCAGCAACTGAGTAATGAACAATCTTAATTACTCCTGTGGATTAATAAATCTCACCAAACTGAATTCATTTATTCCAGAAAAGACATCACAGGAATTTGAGTAAGATTTATTAATTTATTTGCTGGAGCTAAGATATTTTTCTACTCTAACATAATTCTGAACAGCTTACATTCACTTCTACAGTAAAGGGGTTAAAATACAACAGTATAATAAAATAAAATAATGCAAAAAAGAAGTAACAAAAAATTACTAAAAAATTAAAGACCAGAAAGAAAGAAAACCCCAATCATAGATGGGAAGTCTAATTTAGCTCAGATATGTTTTGTTTTGTTTTTTCAAAAAAAGTCCAGTTTACGTGACTGCCCTGAAACTATAACACGGGGTCTAATCTGATCTCAAAAGGCAGACTATTTCAAATAAGTGAGGAACCAACAGAGAAGCATAAATTCTTGGGCCCTGTAGATGACATCCCTTAGAATGGAAATAATCATAATCAGAGTGTGCCAGCAGAAGCCACTGGACAATTCTGTAGATATCCAGTATATTTCTATATTCTTTCTGTATCTGGTGTCTGACCTCTCCTCTAGCCTGAAGGGTCTCAGCTGAGCTTAAAACTAATATGTATTAGTTGTCTATTAATAATTGCTCCCCTGCCCCAGTGGAAGAATTTTACATGGGCTAGATCAGGCATGTTAAACTGCTGGCCTGTGGGCCAGACGCGTCACGCCAAAACCGCGCCCACCACATTGTTGGCAATGGGGAAAAAGTCCTGATACATCATGTCACGAGTTTGACATGCCTGTGCTAGATGATATGAGAACTTGACTAAAATGGGGAAACAAAATGAGACAAAATAGACCAGTGAAACAGTTAATTAAAATAAATCTATATCATCCATATGCATTCTAATTATCTTATTTGTGTCAGTGGCATGAGAAACTGTTGCTACTGTTACCAGTTGTACAATTAAATTTTATTCTTACTACTGGACTTTCTTGTCTCCCTTTGTTGACCATAGTGGAACTGTGATAGTGAAGTGCTAGGTTTTATATTATTCAGTTCAGGTTTTGGGGAACGTAGGGAACCCTAGAAATCTGCTTCATATTAAATGGTGTTCCCTGTATCAGCTTTGCTGATGTGTCTGGAGGTGATATAATAGAATCAGTGACATTGAGTATTTAAGATTAGTGTGAAAAAAAAAGCTAGGTGACGTTTGTTTAGGCAGTCCTACTAATTAATATAGAGAAATTATAGTCTGTCTGTCTTTCTTTTTCTTGTAGAATGAGCCCGTAGAAGTTAATATTGAGTAAATGGAATATAACTTGCATTTCTCAGTTCTTATGATCTATAGACCCAGGAAACTGAAGCACTAAGGAGGACCTCTTTTATGGCTGATTAGCTGCATTCACGGTTGTGCTAGTTTGCTCTAGAACGTTGGCATTTATCCACATTTGCAAATCTTCTTTCTGAAATTGAGATTTGTTACTAGAAGGTAGAGGTGAACATAGAAGGTAGAGGTGAACATAGTGCAGAAGTGACCTACCTCTAAATATATTAAAATACAGTAATCCTAAATCACAATAATGATCATGAAAAACCTGTGATATGTTAGCAGCGGAAAATAATCTCTTTTTTTTGTCTAGATTTGAATTATAATTTGATAGCAGATGTGGCAAAGAAAGAAAAAGGATACCCAATCAGGGTTTACTTCATCTCTTCTGGAGAAGCAGCGGGCCAGATCACAGAACAATTGCAGCTCTCCTATATGCAGAAGAAATGCTCAAACTACTTAGCTTTTGTAAAGGTTGGTCCATGTTTGACTCATGTTATATATACTTTTATATTTTCACTTACCCTAAATTAGGCCTGAGATTATCCTTGGATGAAAATGGATGTGGAATGCATTCAGCTTTCTATTTCTGAAACATTAGTAAGGCTAAGAATAAGTACCTCTGAATACATGAAAAGGTGTAAGATTGTGTTTTTAAAAATATGAAAGTTTTCTGTATGGTTATTTAAAATATTTTACGGGAATAGGGATAAAGGAATGTCTCCACATCAGGTATTCTTGTGATAAGAAAGAAAAAAGTCTGTCTCTACCCTGGAAATGTAGAATGTAGATTTTGGATTCTCTCAAAAGGCTAGAGCAGTGGTGGCAAACCTATGGCATGCGTGCCAGAGGCAGCACGCAGAGCCCTCTCTCTGGGAATGCGTGCCATCACCCCAGTCCCACCTTCTCCCTCAGCCCCCTCCTCACCAGCAGTCCCCCCGGAGGAGAGTCATCCCCGGGCGCAGTCCACACAGAGCAGCGCAGCGAAGGACATGGCAGCCGGGCAGCAGGGAATAGACCCCACCCTTGTGCCCCGTCACATGCTGATGATGCTGTGGGGCGCAGGCAGAGGGCGTGGTGACCATGGTGCTGCAGGGCCACATGAGTGGTCTGCAGCAGGCCATGGAGGCGGTAGGTGGCCCTGCAGTTGGTTGGGCAGGGGATGGAGCAGTTTTGGGGCACTCCGTGTCTAAAAGGTTCGCCATCACTGGGCTACAGCATTCCTTTATATAAAAGAAGGTATCCTGAAAGACGATGACATGACTCAGTTCTGCTTTTGGCTATTCTTGGCTGATTTTGCTCAACAAATATCCTGGCTTTAATTCACTTTCAAATATTTGGCATGTTATATGGCAGGATCAGAAATACAAACATAATCGCTTCATGGGGACAATTGCAGACAATCCAACTTTTTCAAGAAGGGATTTTCCAAGATGCAGAAAGAGAAAAAAATCCATCTGCTGACTGTCAGCTTCTCTGCCAAGTTTAGATGATGTTTTACATAAAGTTTGGGACTGCACGATATGAACTGAGGGCCACAGGTTATACGCCCTGCATTAGTTAATGAGTATCTATTTCAAGAAGGGAATCATCAATTATACCAGAAAGTAAAGAGGCTGCATTTTCATATCATTTCTGGTGGGGAGCTGTGCATGGTGCTTTTCTTACAGAGCATTAGCTTTATTTTTTCTCTTGTGATTAAAATGGTATGGTACGCAACTGGTAAAATGATAGGGATGGGCATCTTGCTTAGCCTGTGTGTCAGTGAAAGGAACCAGTGCAGGAAGCATGAAAGTACGGTATTCTTGAAAATGCAAATCAGTGAGATGAAAAAGATATTTCTCTGGGTATGTCTTTAATAAGTCAAAGAGATAAATATTTGTGGAACATCTATTTTGATTTTTCAAAGACAATAAAAGTTGCAAGATTGAAACTGGGTCGGTCTCTGTTCTCTATTGGAATATGTGCTTTGGGCTAATCTGGCTATTTTTATTTATGTAGCGTCCTCCTATTAGCTGATTGGTGTCAACACACCAACTGTCACTACATCAATCAGCCAGTAGGAAGGTACCACATAAACAGAACTCACAGAATAGCCCAAAGCACATATTCCAGTAGAGAGAAGTTCCCTGAAGATGGGCTCCAGCATGAGTCTTAAAGGTCAGAAGAGTAAATCTCTGGTCCTGCTGCCAACCCAGATTCAATAAAGGTTCTCCCAAGTATCTTGTATTCTTTAAATTCCCTCTAGTGTTCTCTCCTCTGAAGCATTTTCAGCATGAAGTTTAGCTTTTTTATGCATACCTGCAACAATCTCTGTTGGTTTAAGATATATAAGCAAAAAAAAAAAAAAGTCATTACTATCTTTGTTGAAAATATATCCTTGGACTACATATTTTCCAAGCAGAACCAGATTGCAGTAGAGGCCAAAGAACTGGGATTTTTTTTATAAATTTTCTCTGCTAAAGTAGATTAAGAGATATAACCTCCTTTGAATCCAGCTACAGATAGTCCTCAACTTACAATCATTTGTTTAGTGACTGTTCAGAGTTACAACAGCACTGAAAAAAGTGTATTATGGCCATTGCAGCATCTTCATGGTCACATGATTAAAGTTTGGATGTTTGGCAGCTGGTTCATATTTAAGATGAATGCTGTTTCCCAGGATCATGTGTTCATCTTTTGCGACCTCACAAATGAAGTCGGGAAACCAGATTCACTTAAAACCATGTTACTAACTTAACAACTGCAGTGATTCACTCAACAACTGTGGCAAGAAAGGTTGTAAAATGGGGCAAACTCACTAAATAAGTTTCTTGCTTAACAGCACAAATTTCATCCAGTACTACTTGTATTATATTTTCTTAACTTAATATTTTCTATTATATTTAAATAAGTAAATTGACCTATCAGTAATATATGTAAATGTAGGTAATATTCTACCAACTCTTTAATGAATGATTATTTAGCAAAATTAGAATTCTGACTTTTCTAAGATTTGAGCTTCAAATAAAACCAATTGTTTTAAGAGAGGGTATTACAAATGTTACAATTTCAAAATATAATACATTTTATTTCCATCACATTTTTGTTGTTAGATCTAATAATTTTATTAGGTTCATTATTTTCCTGATTCTTTAATGGTATCTTCAATCTGTAAGGTAACTTCTGAGTCACAGAACTTTTGTTCTGATTTCACTGTTTGTGCAGTAATTGCTATTCTGGAAAAAAAATGATCAACATTTTTCCATTTTCTAGTGTTTTAAATATCTGGGACTGCTGCTACTTAATTCTTTAAAAAGGGTATTCTTCTAATCAGCTTATATGTATTTTTATTGGATAATATCAAACATCAGTTTTAATTCTATAAGAAAAAAACAGATTTTATGAAAACAAGAGTGTACTTGGAACTGGGAAATCTAAAACTCTAAAAAACTATTTTTTTTTTCCTTAAGAGCTTTTTTGTGACTTCATATTTTAATTCAGCCTAGCCTTTCTAGTACTTTCTAAATTTGCTAAAACTGCAGTTCCTAAAATTCCCATTCATCATGCTAACTGGAACAGGACTCTTTGCAAGGCAAAAGAATAATAATTGGGCTTTTGTGAGGAATGTTGCCCAAGTTATTTATTTATTAAAGTCATACCTGGCCTTTATTTTGGAGCCTGAAAGTGCAGTAAATGGAAAGAGAAGAGAAGGATCCATGTTTATATTATAATTCAAACAATAAGCCTCTGAGGAAGTTTTAGATGAAAGAGTAATTTAAAGTCATCTAAGGAACTCCAAAGTCAAGTAGGAACTTGATATTAAGATACAGAAGAATAGTCATTATACTACATAAAAGAATAACAACCTTAAGTCCTTTAGACAATCTTACAATCTTCTTATGTTCTAAATTTTCAAAAATTAATCTTATCTCTGGGTGCTATAGGAAATCATTTCTAACAATAGTCGTTAGTCTTGCAGATGTCACAAGGGTCTATCATGTGTCAAGCACTATATTGAAGAAATGGGTCTGGGAATCAAACATGAGAATCCTCTTGTGTAGTTGTTTATTTATTTATTAAGTATATTTGTCATTCATTTTGCTGCTATCAGTAGTAAAACAATGGAAACACAAATATTTAACTGCAATACAAATACAAATTACAAATTATGATTAAAAGATGGAGAGGGAAGGAGTAAGATGACCAGGGGGGAGTTGGGATCTGCTATTGGTCCATCAACTACCTCCAATGTAGTAGTACTCCTTTGGGGCCCCAAGCCATCTGGGAAAGCCAGGTTTTAAGGCTTTTCTGGAAAGTCAGGAGGATGGGAACCAGTCTCATTCTCAGAGCAAGACATTCCAGAGGGCAAGGGCAGAGTAGGCTCTTCTCCTGGACTCTGCCAGCTGGAATTCCCTAACCAATGGGGTCCGCAGCATGTCTCCTCTGTTGGCATGAGTGGAATGGGCTACTCCCTGGTTGTACCCCATCCCGCTTTTTCTGGAGATTGTCTACAAGAGAGACCAATGCTGCTTCTGTCCCATAATGGAGTCTGAATCTAAACTAGTCCACAACAGGGTTGCCAGGTGACATTCCACAAACACAATAAGGGTAGAGTAATAAAGTTGTTGCTGAACTATTCATTTTGGGGGCTTGAACAATATTCAGCCACTCAAAAACAATATAATACATTTCAACTATATACTGGAAAACAGTTATAAGTTTAACAAATAGCTAGCCATTCCCTTAGCAGATTATTGTTTTTTAAAAAAAAATTTATGTCCAAGTTCTTACTATCTTATCTCCAAACAAGGCATTTTTCTTTGTAATTAAAATCATTTTAAGATGGTGGTTCTGTCTCTTTACTTTCCAAACTGTTTTAAGTCAGTAGCAAGAATACAACAGCTGCTTCTTTGCACATTTACTTGCTCCCAAAAGTTGACTTTCAAAGATGATCTTGGCTCTGTTCCAGTTGCTGCATTGTTTCATGAATGTGGATCTCCCTAATTCCCTCTGAATAAGAGGTAGTTATAGGGCCAGTGGGGGGGAGGGGGCTGTAAGACTTGATACGATATCAGCTTTCTTTCCAGTACATATACAATGACTTTTGTAAGTTTAAGAGCTGATGACTGAGTTTGCTTTTCCCTTGTTCTCACACCATTCTTTTTCCTTCTGTATTATATAATTTTTAAGCTAATTGCCTTATTTGTTTGTACATAAACCTTTATTTGCTTTTGATGAATAAAATCATCAATGATTAAATATGGAGTATTAAATACAGTGCTTTAAATAGTACAAAATAAGAGTGGGATATAAATGTAAGAAATAGACAATTGCAATACTTTATAATACAAAGCATTGCAATGCAGCATTGACTTGCTTTCAGAAGCATACAGTGTTAATATATTTTTCATTCATATTTCAATCCAAAGCAAAATTCAGACCTATTGCTATTTTTTCTAGCCAACTCCATCTGCTCAAAAGAATTAAGATGT